TGACACCACATTTAGTTCACCCCATCGACTGCTATAGGCCCGCTTGTAGAACATCCATTAAACTCAAGCCTGTAAACTCAGCAGAATCCCTCCTTCCTCAGTCCTTATTCTTGACGTCTGCCTGCCTGCCTGCCTGCCTGTCTGTCTGTCTGTCTGTCTGTCTGTCTGTCTGTCTGTCTGTCTGTCTGTCAAGGGAAGCAGTCGCTCCGTCTGTCAATAAATGTCTTATCTTTCGACTTCTTGTTCCTGTCTGTTTATCTGTCTGTCTGACATGTCGGCAGCTGTCTCAGCGCTCCGGGGTTGCTGTCAGCCAAGTGTTGGTTTCTGTTCTTCTGTCAGTTCACCTGCCTGTCAAAGCTTCTCAGATTAGACATGTCAACTTACCTCCAGGTTTTCCGCTTCTCCAGGATGAGTTTATAAAAAAAAATAAACAAGGAAGAAACACATTATGTTTACTCAGAAGAGTAAATTAGTTGTGGCATTGTGAAAAGCTCTTTTTTTATGCTATGGCTCTCTCTCTTCAGTGGTAAATATAGTACCTCCTTAAGACATCAAATGTGCTAATGCATGTTTAGCTTTTCTTCACACAATAGTGGCACAGTGTTTCTAAAATAAGAGCACATTTCCCATAAATCCTGTTGCTTCTGAGGACGAGGATATAAAAAAAACATTTATGAATAGACAGAAAGGAAAGAACTGGGGAGAATAGAAAAGTTGTACAGAAGTGGGGGAGAGAAGGTGAAGGGATGTATGGCAAAGTGATGTGAGAATACAGGAATTGAGTAGAAAAATACATTTAACAGAGAGATGGATGGGATGAGGTAATATTGATATGAGAGGAGAAACAGGATGGCAGTGAAGCTGAGATGGCAGAGGAGACGGAGGGAGGGGGGGTGCAGAGGGGAGCTACCTGCTGCTGATGGCAGTCAGAGTCAGTGAGGGATGGAGGGCGATCCAGCTGTGACATTAAAGCAGCAGGTGGAGGCCATCATTAGGACTGGCACAGGAGGCTGGATGAGCCCACACACAGTCATTTCTTTGGGGCCCAGCGGACCACCTGTGTGTGTGTGTGTGTGTGTGTGTGTGTGTGTGTGTGTGTGTGTGTGTGTGTGTGTGTGTGTGTGTGTGTGTGTGTGTGTGTGTGTGTGTGCATGTGTGTTTCTCCTCAAAAAGAGCTGAAGCATAGTCCCATAACTTCAGAGCTCATCCCCACACACCCCCCCCTCCTCCTTTCGTCTTTCCCTTATGGAAGGCCCTCTTCCTCCCCACGTTTCGGCAGCTACGCCCGGTGAGGGTTGAGCGCTTCCTACATCTGGTGGCTCCCTTGTAATGGTTTTTCAGTTACCTTTCAACCAATTACAATACAGAAGTTTATTCGATTTCAGCTTAATTTTTCACCTCATAGCTTTTCCCGTGTTGCGTTCACATTGTGGCAGCACACAGCAGGCGGCAAACTGGATGTTCAATTGTTTTCAGAGAAAATAAACGATAAGAAATTGCGCCAACGTTTGTCTTTCACAACTATATCAAGGAAAACAGCTGTTTAAAATCTCTCTCTCTATATATATATGTATATATATATATATATATGTGTACTGACTTTGTTCTCATTTAGTCTTCTCTCGTTCGTTGTAGCATCTTGGAGACAGTAAGTTTGCTATTGGTAATGCACTACGTTTTCCCAGTTTAGAAGTGAAATGACAGACTGAAAATGAACTGTCACATACATAGGGATGTGTTATTGTGTCCATGGATTGTCATTAATAAGAGACATTGACCTTAGTACCCATTTGATGTCGAACCAGAAGCCGTCTGACAAGGTTGATTGTCCAAACCTGAAGAAACCGTCTGAAAGTAACTTGAGCAAAAGTTGGCAAAGTGTGTCATGTCTGACCTGGCTCTATCCCAGCATTCCTTGTGCACAGCTCTCAGGAACGGGTGTGTGTGATTTGAGGGGTGGCGGGCTATGGTACATCTAAGCCGAGTGTTGCTCCAGGCCTTTTCTTAGATCTCGCATCCCTTCTGGACCTGTAGACGGGCCTATCCAGGAACACCATTAGGCAAATGAAGTTGTTTGTATCAAATATTGACATGTTATCTCTTCATCATCAGGCGGCGGGAGGGATGAGAGAGAGAAAGATTGTAACTGTGGGTAATTGAGCCGTGTCTCCCCTGCTTATCGGTAAAGCTCCGGCACGTCACGGACCTAACGAGCTGTGGCGCGCCGATTAGTCTGAAGGGAAAGTCGAACGTGAAACACCCGAGCCTCCGTCTTTCTTTTTCTTTTTCTTTTTTTTTTCATATCTGCAATGGATATTATGAGCCTCCCTGGAGGGCAGAGGCACAGCCTTATTAGTTCAATTCATGGGGGGGAAGAGAATTGATATGGATGAATGGCATGTTAAAGTATCCCTTTGTTACAATAACCATCAAGGCTGATGGTTCGGGCTGATGATGCAGCCCAAGGCAGCAGGACGACAAGCTGAGGCCTTGACCTGGATGGCAGAGGATGCACACACACCAAGGGCAGGGGGCTGATTACACACTGCCTTAAACAAATGGATTTGCCCCTTTAACATTTAGATATGGGATCTTTCTGTGTGTTGGTGTGTGCGTGTTTGCATGAGAGATTGGGTACTTGTGGATGTCTGTTTTTGTGAGTAAGGAGTGTCATTTGTCTGAATTTGTATCAGTGTATGTGTGTGTGAATGCTGCCTGCATTTTATATCAAGATTATGGTATTGTGGTGTATTAGATAATCATATGGTGAATTGCTAATTGTGAATGTTATCATTACCATTTTAGTGCATAGTGGGAATTTGTATTTTTCCATTTTGTATGGTTATTTGCGGTTGTGCATGTTGTTATTGTGCATTTCTGTGAATATTAACACCCATTTATGTGTGTGCGTGTGTGTGTGTGCATGCGCGCAGCCTGTGCCAGGTGCCTCCACAGGGCATTACCCATCTTGCACTCGTGCCACTCTGAGAATAATCCAGTAAAAAATGGGCGAGATGAGAATCTCACAACATGCCAGTTTGATTTGTACCCCTTGCTATCAAAGAATGCTAATTAAAATCATATTTTGCATATGTCTTGTCTTTCATGCGCATATGCAAATTGCCCCTGTTGCCTTTCAGCACTCTGTAATTAGGTTTATGAAGGACAGCTGTAATACATAATTAACAGAAATGTTTGCAAGCTCTTTTTTCTCCACGTCTAAACACGACGACTTAAACAAGCGCGGGTGAAGTGTTCCAAGGCCGTGCTTTTTTCTCAAAAATATAGATTTTTTTTACCCCCACCCTCTCCAAAATATCTTAATTACGTTTTTTTGTTTATTTATACATGATGCCGTCAGTCAGGGGCCCTTTCAGTGGGCCAGAGAAGCTCAGCATTTTGATCTTGCCAGTCTCCCTGATTGGAATATACAAGATTTAGTCATACGCTCGCTCCTGGTTTAACTCTGAGGCAACATTCTGGACGGGTGGATGGATTGAGTTAGAGAGCATTGAGAAAATAGATGTAAAGTGATGATAGCGAGGCAAAACTGTGGAACATGTTTGAATATTTATGTGGTGGTCTTAGTTAGCGTCGGCCTCAGGGGCCTGCATGACGGACGGGACTCTGGGGCCATGATGGAATGGAGGACACAGCCGTGTATGTGTTCGTCCAGACGGCTGACATGGCGACATAAATGGTGAAATAATTATGCGTTCGCTTTATGAAAGACTGACTCCAACAGTTAGAAGGAAAGCTTCAGAAAGGCACAAACAGGCCTCGCCTCAGAGAAAACAGAATAATGATCTACTTGGAAGAAGAAAAAAAAAAAGAGTGAAAACGTCCAGAAACGAAGAAATGGGAGGAGCGACGCGGAGGAGGAACCCGAGTGTGTGCAGTGACAGTGCCAGCCACATGACTGTCGGTTCAACTCCCTCGGCCTCTTTCATGTAGCTCCATCCTCAGCTCTCAGATGTGGTCATTGTCTTTCAGTTGCACAATAATGGGAAGTGATGGGTGCTAAATGAAAAGGCCAGGGGATGAAAACACTGGTGAAGCAGCTTGGATGTCAGAGTAGTTAGTCCTGTCATCCGTTCATTATGCTTTCATATGCTGTTTAGGAGACATGGTAAACTCAGGGCCCTCGACAAAGTCAGGACATTGTGGTCACTGACGAGCTGCGGTACCCCGGTATTATTGACTGTGTGTGCGTGCAACTGCTTGTACTGTAGATATATATGCATGTGAATCCTTGCACGTGGGTACATATTTATTTGACACGTTGATTTACAACATGTGGAACTCTTTCTTATTCTACTGTCTGAACCAAAAGGTGCCTGTAAAACAAACTCAGACTTTAAACTCCTCTTGTAGTGCAACCTGATCATATACATTTGTGTCTGTTTATCTGCTCTGTCCTCTATTACCAGAACAATAGTTTTTTCCCACCCAAAAACCTGTTTGTGACAGATTATATTTAAAACTCCATGTCAGATAGTGTTTCCTGGGAAAAGTCTAGGAATGGAAGAGAAGGTGTTTGAAACTTTCTACCAGTGGGAGAATAACAAAAGAAAATACACCACAATATTTCTGTTTTACAGCTCAATGTAGCAAACAGTGACAAAAAGAGAATGTGTTTCTACCCAGCTTGAGTCTGACTTTAAGAACTTTTAATTCATTTGAGGACAGATGATTGAAAAGGCTGTCTTCCAGTGCTTCACATCTTCTAGTATTTTGTCCCATCCTTCTTCTCTTATAATCCTGGAACATATTTCTCAGGCATACATGCGCTGTAGTGATGCATTCATGGTTCAGATTTTCTTCAAACAAACAACAGAAGACGAGCGCAGTACAAACTCTCGCTACATACGTTATGCTCCAGCATATTATTGATCTACCATATTATCAGTATTGCTCTTTGATTAACCCATGTTCTGTGTGTGTGTGTGTGTGTGTGTGTGTGTGTGTGTGTGTGTGTGTGTGTGTGTGTGTTTTTGTAGATGGGCCTTCGTGATGAAGAAACACCTCAGCACCCACCTACTGGGGAAGCATGGAGTTGGACAGCGTAAAGAGAGGTACATTTAACAACTGCATTCAGCACTTACGCGTCATAATCTGCTTCTCAGTCAAAACACATGTTCCAGAATTTTAATTCTAGTATGTTTACATTCATAAAAGGGAGATTTCTATTCAAATATGTTTCCCTATCCTGTGTCCTGACTGTCGAGTACTTTAGCTAAAGTGAGAGATACAGCAGGCAATTAATTCTAGATTTTGGAGGATGACTCCTACAACCCCTATGGAGGTCTGTAAGCTTTTAAGCAAAAAGTCCCCACTAATTACAGTGAATTTCAAGTTAAATATAACTTGAGATCCTCCCTTTCCCTAATGAGTTAAATGGCTTTCACTCATTCCGTCTGTCTCTGTCTCTTGCTTACATCCCTTTTTTCTGTCAAACTTTATCTGCCTCCCTCCCTCATCTCACTCTCTGCTCTCCCTCTTGAATTAAGGATGAATGATGTTTCTTTTACCATTTTTGTCTGCGTATGGGAGTGTGTGTTTCTGTGTATGTGTAATGTCTCCCGCTTGGCCCTGTCTATCAGAAGCAGAGCCCTGCTGTCAGTGTGTGTGCGTTGTGTATGTGTGTGAAAAAGAAAGATGAGGAGATGAAGTTGTGAGCCCCCCCCAAACCCCCCCTCCTACCCTGACAAGCCAAAACGAGACGTTAAACACCTCTCAATCTGTCAAGCGAGCTGCTAAAATAGAAACAGACCCGCTTTTTCATTACTACGCAACCAAATTGATACTTTTGACAACGTGTGGTATTAGATATGACAAGTGGCTTCAGATATGGAAGTAAGCAGCCCGACCAGATGCCTCTCCATCTCTCAGACATTATCAACTAAATTCCTACTGTCAGCTGTTCATCTGGATTAGATGGAAACAAATCCTCATATCCTCAACTGCTTCAAGTTTCTGTTTCATCCACATTTTCCACATCTGTGACCTACCCAGTGCAACCGCAGTTTCCTGCTGTTTGCCACTAGGCTGACTGACCGGGGACTTGAACCGATGACCTTTCAGTCCAACATTTGCGCTACTGTTGTCCAAAAGAAAAGTACAACAAATGCCTCTCCTGTTAACAGCTGCTAACATTTATTAACAAACTGTAAAGAGAAATAAAAATAAACAAGACCACAATTAAGAGAAGGAGGTCTTTGTGACTTAATTAAAAAAAAAAAAAAAAAGGAAAGGCAAAGAGGTGACAGGCCAGCTGCCCTGACTTCAGGTATCGGTCGGCTCTATAGACAAATGCCGGTTGAAGACGGATTGTAACAAGCTGCCATTACTGTAGTGGCGGTCATTGTAAACCCGTACAGTAGTAACACTGTAATTTATGAGAAGGATTTAACTTTTTAACCACTTTTGCCAAGAAATATATGCAGAAGACCCTGCAGAAGTGTCATGTTTCATGTGTAGTAATCGAATGCTATTAAAATAACGTTTGAATAGATGGCTCATTAGCTTTTCACCTGCAAATCCTTCAACCACATATACTGGGCTGTGCTGAGCTGCTCAAACATTAAACTTCAACTTTAGAAAACATTGATTTGTCTACATCAAATCCTCATGTTTGCATAATTGGCGACATGCCTACAACAGACAATTTTAGTTTAAAATGTTTAGCATTTTTAACAACCAGGACATCGCTTGGATTGAATCTACTAGCTGGTAAAAAACATGTTCCATCCCAAAGACCTTTAGTGCTCATTGCTTTTGTAATAGAAGGTGGCAACACTGCCAAGGTCACACACAAACACACACACACACACACACACACACACACACACACACACACACAAATTCACACACAAGGATACTGGGCACAAATGAAGCTGTACAGTCTGTGTGTTACCTGATAGTGTTTAGCTCAGTGTGTGTTTTTGCCAAAAACAACTCTAGTCACTCTGCTCAGCCATAAAGCATTATCCCACACAGCATCAGTACATCACACACACACACACACACACACACACACACACACACACACACACACACAATATATACATACAGGTACAAATTTTCTGCTACATCTAAATCTTCTGTTAATGCACATAAACACACAAACTCTACAGTCATCAAAAGATCATTCTTTTTATTCCTTGTTTTCTCAAATTCTTTTCATTGCACTTAAACACATGCCTGCTGTACACACACATGCACACACACTCGCTAACATGCGCACTTAAAGGGAGGACGGCCACAAGGTTTGTTCTATTTAAACCTGTAAAACACGATGTCATCATTTTTCTGACAGTCCTGCAGACAGAATTTATCTCATCATTAATTAACCATCATATTTCCAACACAGTACAGCTTAATTAGCACAAGGTCATTGGGGAGGGCTTATTAAGTGGAACAAATTTGGGCAAGTGTAAGAGAGGAGGCAGAGGACGGTGGAGAAGAAAGGAGGAGAGAGAGAGGTGGGATGACAAAGAGATAGGCAGAGAGGGAAGATGAAAGAAAGGAGGAAAGAAAAGGAGAAAAGAGAGGAAGTGTGTGTGTGTGTGTAAGTGTGAGTGGTTTGGTTCGACGTGACAGTGCTGGCTCAAAGATTGATAACTGCACCGGTTTTGAAAGCCCAGACCTGGAGACTAGGACGGGAGCTGAGGGAAAAAGAGAGACAGGGAGAGGGAAAGGATGGGGAAACTTGTGTGTGTGTGTGTGTGTGTGTGTGTGTAGGGGGGGGTATCTGAACCGGCAACTGGGGACCAGTGAGGGAGGGGGTTGGTTGGGAGGCAATGGGGGTTGTTGGGGGGAGCCAATTGCAAACATATGCTGGCTGGCAGGCGGTGGAGAGATGGATTGCAGTGGGACAGTGTCAGAGAGGCAGTTTCATCACCATCTCTACGGCCCTGTTCACCTGGTATTTTTAGAACACTGGGGAGATCTGTTAGTCAAAGAAAGAGAAGAGGAGGAGGAAGAGACCTGACTAGCTGTAGGTAACGCCAGGCTCCACTTAGCCAAAACTGTCGGGGGCCTCAAACGCCAAGTTATTTTGGGTGGGTATCTGTGAAGACAAGAGAGTCCCATTAATTTAGGGTTTGAAAAGATTCTATTTTTGTTAATCAGCCTAAACTTTATTTATCCACTTAGGGAAATTTGTCCCTATTTGACCTTTCCTAAGAAGTAAGGGGGAATGAGCCCAACACCCAGGGGCTGATTCCTAAAAGAATAACACATAATAGTAATAAGGTTAGCCAAAAAAAGTTGGTTGACTAAGACTCTTCTCAATGACTAACAATTAACTCGACAATTAGGGGGCAGCCCTACTCATGAAAGACAGTGACAGACAGATGGTTCCAATCACCTGCCAAATACTGCCCTTTTCCAAACTGTTTCTAAGGAAGACTTTGCAGATGGTTCAGTGTTACAAACGAACTGGCGCAGTCGGGTTACTTAAAACATGGCTGTACAAATTCATCCAGCAAGCCTATACACACACACTGCAGCAGTCAAAGCAAATGAAGTGCGTCCTTTTGGTTTCAAACCTGCAAATTTTCTTGTCATATGGAGTTTTAGCATGTATGTTAGTGTTGAAGAAAACCCACACAAACACAGGAAAACTGCGTTAAAAACACACATTTTATTTTAACTTTTATTTTCATATGAGTAAAAATATGTTTTGTCCATACCTTTGTGGAATCCAGTCACAGTGTCTCCCTACAATCAGTTCACACTAATGAGCATAGTGGGCAATGATGGCCAACACTGGTCAGATCTGACTTTACATAAAAGGCTAATATTAGCCCCATATATCGTTATAACCCCAGCGGGGAAGAGAGGGAAGGGGAATCGGAGGGGAGGATGGGTGAGATGACAGACTCCAACTATCTGACAGGTTCTGGGTGTGTGTGAGAGAGAGAGAGAGAGAGAGAGAGAGAGAGAGAGAGAGAGAGAGAGAGAGAGAGAGAGAGGGGGAGAGAGGGAGAGAAAGATAGGGAGAGAGCTGAACTGTTATAAAGTGACACAACTGGGTCTTCGTCTCAGTCACACCACCACTCCTCACTGCAGGCACTGAGCGGAGATGAGGGCTTTTTGTCCTTTTGTCTGCCTGCATGTGTGTGCTTTCTCACAGATGTATACTTATGAGGACCGCATGTCCTCGCAAATTGGCATAAACCTAGCTGTGTGGTGTCTGATTGTAATGGCTTGTACTGATCTCAAAAGGTTTTTATTGTAACATTTTGCATTACAGCGCCAAATTATAATAAGAAGTTGTCACTTTTGTTATCACCCACTTGTAATGTCATTCTGAGTTGAATTATCCCCTTTCCTCAGTGCATTTTCATCTGAATATATAATCTCCCTTATTTAGTTAATGGATGCACGGTCTGAGCCAGCCTAGTGGGGAAATGGTTGTACAGTCTCCAAAATTAGAAGTATTCCCACTAGTTTGATTTTATTGATTTGGATTGAGTGTTGCACATCAAGAATGCTTTTTCCTGCTCACTCACAGGAGAACAGTTATCTATCTATTGTAAAACCAAAAAAAAGGTTACGTGCAACCATCAGTTTTGGATGTGTGGTGTTAACTACAGCAATAGAATAAAAGAAAGAATAACTGCCCCTAAGGAGGAACATGGAATATAAATATTGTATCACGTCTTTTAAGTAACAACCCAAAGTCCTGTATGACTAACAATGGCTTCTATATATGTGTGCGAGAATGTGTGTGTCAGTAAAATGTATTCCTTAAAAAGTTTCACCACATATTTTTATTTAACTCCTTGTATTCTCTTTTTTGCTGTCATTTATCATTTTAACCTCGGTGTTTGTTTCTTTCAGAGTGTGTGTGTGTGTGTGTGTGTGTGTGTGTGTGTGTGTGTGTGTGTGTGTGTGTGTGTGTGTGTGTGTGTGTGTGTGGGCACCTAAACCAACACTTCAATAACAAGGGAGTGGCTTGAGAACATGATTGACAGCAGCGACCTTGCCTCAATTGCTTGTAATTAGTTCTTTAAAAACAGGGCGCCAAAAGACAACTGACCTGTCTCGCATACCTGTTTTTTTAGGT